GCGCACGGTCAACTTGTGGAACTCCTTACCTGAGGAGGTTGTGAAGGCTAGGACTATAACAGCGTTTAAAAGAGAACTGGATAAATTCATGGAGGTTAAGTCCATTAATGGCTATTAGCCAGGATGGGTAAGGAATGGTGTCCCTAGCCTCTTTTTGTCAGAGGATGGAGATGGATGGCAGGAGAGAGATCACTTGATCATTGCCTGTTGGTCCACTCCCTCTGGGGCACCTGGCATTGCTCACTGTCAGTAGACAGGAGACTGGGCTGGATGGACCTTTGGTCTGACCCAGTATGGCCATTCTTATGAATGGATCACTTGATGATTACCTGTTGTATTCATTCCCTCTGGGGCACCTGGCATTGGCCTCTGTCAGAAGACAGGATACTGGGCTAGATGGACCTTTGGTCTGACCCAGTATGGGCGTTCTTATGTTCTTAGAAATCAGACCTCAGGGTCCCAGTCAAGCACCCCTAAAATGAAGAACACACAACTAGTGACCCCTGTGAAAAGTTTGGTTTAAGTAACTTGCCTACCATCACACAGGAAATATGTGGCTGAAGCTGAGATAGAATCCAGTTCTCCATGCATAACCATGAGACTATTCTTACTCTTCCTACAATCCCCTGCCTCATTCACTACATACCTTCCAACTTCTGCAGCAAATGAAGCAGAGATCCTAGGGACAACAGCCTCCTTCACTACACAACCTGATTAATCTCCAAAGCAGGTCCATCCTGTGTATTGAATGAGGCAGAGATCATATAGAAAAATATATGATGATGTAATTCAATACTTTATCCTAATACCTATGGACAAAGGCACTGAATGAAGTTTGCACAGAGAACCTTAATTCTGACATTTCCTAATTTTTGAGGGCTTGATTTTGCAACCTTGGTGTTCTTTTAATGTAGTTTTTGTGTATAATATTGATATAGTCTGACCCAGCTGCCTGGCCACTTCTCATTGACTGAGAAAATAGGCAAGGCCCATGCAGCACTTGAACTGGCTCTAAATCTTCAGGCTATTGTAGTTATAAATCAATATAATGACACTCATTAATTTGTATCTATATTATCTTCATTATTTATAATATCAGTTGCATATTATACACGTAACCACTACACTAAAACTGTCTTATTTTAATCCTTTTAGAAATGTTTAGCGTTCAATCCCACCAAGAGGATATCTGCCTATGTTGCCCTGTCTCACCCTTATTTCCATGATCTGGAGAAATGCAAGGAGAATCTGGACTCCCACATGTCAACCAGCCAAAACTCCAATGAGGTGAATAAATCATAAGACTCATTGAAGCAGAACCTACAAATGAACACGATGTGTAGCTGACAAAGGTCACTATCCCTAGCTGTTCTACTGAAGATCATTATTTGGAGGTTTTACGCATCTGTCTGCTTCTTCAGGATGGTGATGTGCTCCAAGGAAACCAACCTGGTTTACTTTCATCAAAGCAATGCAAGAACCAGGGATTTCACCTGCTCCCATTGCAGCTTTATGTGTGTGTGTGTTTGTTTTGTTTAACTACCTGGGAAAACTCCAGATGAAGAGAAGCTGCTGACCAGTTTTGCTGCCATTTTATTCTTCTCATATTGAATGCTGCCAGTGTTCCAGTCACTGCCAAAACATGACGCAATCTCTCCCTCTAGCTGCTGAAGCCTGATCTGGTATTTTTTAATTGTTATTTTGGGATCTCTTAAAGTGATATTTAAAAGAAATGGCATTGAAATATTGGATCTCTGCAACCCGCAAATAATTGATAAGTACATGAATGCGTCTAGTTACTATTGGTAACATACAAGGAGGTGCTTCCCCAGTTGAAAACTTGGACAAATAATTTTATTATTTCATTACTGTCCATAAAAATAATGATGATGATGATGATGATAAACTGAATCAATTTTTAGGTTTTTTAATATACAAATGAATTATTAACTAGATGAGTTTATGTGCATGTCGCAAAAATAAGTTTAAAAAAAACTTTTAGGAACTTACTCTCTAAAGACTCTACTCTCCAAAAATATTGTATTTGTTGTTTGAATCAGTCATTGAAGTCTAACTTTTTATTTCTTTCTCAAAACAATTGCAAGCATATGTTCCATGATCTAGTACAGAAGTTTATAATATGTAGATCAAAGAGGTAGATAGAGCTGATGAAAATCAAAACATGGTTTCCCATTGTAATATATACTTATTAGCAACCAAAAAGTAACTTGGAAAAATGTTTCCTGTTTTAGAAGCAGAGAATTCTTTGATTACGGAGAAGAACACTTATGCATATGTGCTATATTGGATGGAATATACTGCGCTGCTTTACCTGTAACACACAACTTATACAACACAGTGCATGAACATTACTCATATTTCATTTACTAGCAGATTTTTTTTCTGTGCAGAAATGCATGAGCATCCCTCCTAACCCACCATGTGGGTGTATTGGCACACCATATTTCTCACTGTGCTAGCAGTAATGTGCCATAATTGAAAGTCAATATAACTAAACAATTCACATAACTTTTTAGCAGTTATTTTAAATATTACATTACATTTTTATATTTAGTATTTTTACCTTAACTAAAATATATTTTCATTATTTTTAAAAGAAACTTCTATTTTTTTAGTACTGTGCGGAAAAAGTAAATATTTTAAATACATAAAGTAAAGGCTTTTCCCTAACCTAAACTTCAGTGCATTTGCCTGGATATAACTCAAGGGAACATTTGGCCCAGTGAGTTAACCCCTGCCATAAAGGTAGATTAGGCACTACTGCAATATAAATAATAATACACACAGCAGCTACCATTGCTTACTCCTGTGATGGTCCTTCATAAGCTATCCTACTTCTCTTGCCTCTGCTTCATCTGTTCTAGCTACTGAGCCAGTATCTATATCCTCACTCACAGCATGCTTGGCAGTGCCAAGCTGAGCAATATATATTTTTCCAGCTATGGCATGGAGGCATGTGGCTGTCTCCCAGGCAGGTTCCTCGGTTATGTGGCAAACTTCACCATTAGCTCTGAGCTGTTTAGCACTTAGGCTGCTGCCAAGATAGTGAGTGGTTTTATCTACCTTGTGTGAAGGCATTTCTTTTCTGTTACACACCTAACAATGAGACTTGGGTTAAATTACTTCCATGCTATGTAGGCCAAATTGTCAAAGGACCAGTTGCACATGCGCAGTGGCACCTGTCGGGTCTGTTCAAAGATCTACAGCATGAACAGGCAGGCTGTAAATTAGGCTGGACAAGATTGCATCCAAGGCATGTGTGCACAGAGTCTGGACGCTTGCACAGCACAAGACTTTTCCAAGGTGCTCAATGTGCCAGGCTGAAGGCCAGTGGGTAGCCAAGGCACCACTCAGCTGGTCTTGGCTCTGCCCTGTTCCCTCTCCCTCAGTGTCTAGGCCCAAGGATAAATGAGGTATCACTCGGTGGGTCTCGGCTCTACCCCATGCCCCGTGGTCTTAGTTTCTGCAGCCCAGAGAGGGCTGAGGGTGCTGCTTGGCTGGTCTTAAAAGGTGGATCATAGTGCAATTAAATTAACCACAATTTCTATTAATAATTTTAAAACAGTTATTTAAAACAGGAAAGAAAAATCCAGGCCAACCTTGCAAAATTAACAAATGGGGAAAAGGTTACTGCACAATTTAGCAATTTTTAAAACATTCCACATTTTATCTAGCACCAAACTATTGTACGTACTTCTTCAGGGCACTTAGCTGGCATCACCCTCTAACAGCTGCCTGAGGACTATCTCCTGGACGGTATAAAGGAGGGAAAACATTCGTTGTTTTTAAAATCATGCTAAAAAACTGATGTACAGAGGTGCTAGCAATTACTCTGAAGGATGCTGTGTGAGAACCAGAACAGAGTAGAATACATCTACTCCATGTTACACTCCATCCCGTCCAAGCCCCATTCCCAAACCCCCTCAGTGGAAAAAATATGCAGTTTACCCTTCTCCAGCACTCCAAGGCTGATTGCTATTCCCCATTTCCTCTACTGACTATGTGTGTCCCTTGGGTACTACTGCCATGTGTGTAGTGATAGGTGGGGAAGTGGGAACTGGATTTCAAAAGGGAGATGCCCACTGGCACAAGTTCCCTCCTTCCCTGCCATCACCACAGCAGTAAAGAAAACCATTCACATACACTGCAAATGGGGCCCTTGCATGTAGCCCTACTCGGCCTTGACTTTGGCCTGAGTGAGTGCAGCAGACTTGGGCGAACACAGCTAAAAATTATTGAACAACAAAAATTAAATTAAAAAAAGTAAAAATAGTTCTTTATCTTCTGGAGCACCTCCAGCCAGGGTGTTCATTACAGTAGATGCCCAGATGTTCTGAGCAGTGGAAAGGAGCATCTCCCATCTACTGTCCCACATTATAGTCATTTGGTGTTGAGCAAAGCTATAGTCCCACAGGATCCTGCATGATTCTGCAGGCCGAGCAGACCCAACAACTGAAGAAACCACTAAGGTGAGGATAGTCTAGTTTCAGGTGTACTTGCTTCTGTACTATGAAAGCGTCTGCTTCCTCTGCTGATTCCTTACTGGCTCTGGGTGGCCCCGAGACCAATTTTTAGAAACTGAGCACCTGTGGGGCTGCACATATTTCACACTGACATGTAGTAACAGGTCATTAGCATATGCCAGTATTATATTAACATATTCTAATACTGTTGTGCATCTAAAAGCACCCAGCACAAGATATGCCAAGCCAAAGGCAAATAGATGCAGCTGACTGGTTGACCCAGTGGCCTTCCCTCTGCCTCTCCACCCCCTCCCTCATCCTCCTCAGAACAAACAGATCCAGGAAAGCTGCCTGCTGCTATCTCCCACGGAACTCCCCTCCCCTTCCCCCCCGGCCTTCCTCTATTTTCAGCTCCCACACAACTGGTCTTCTCTCACTGCTACTGCCAGTAGTTGCCTCTTTTAGCCCAGGAGCCAAGAGAGGGATGATTAGACGGAACTTCCTCATCCACCTCCCAGTTTACACCTGACTACACTATGACAATGACTAGCTTGTGGACACCTTTTTTGTCTTGCGTGCACCAATCAAAATTCTAAGCCCAGCTATTTATCTTTCAGCACACACAGCTGATGCCCCCTTTGAAAATCCAAGCTTGTTTCCTGCTTGTGCCCCAAAATACACCAACAAACCAGGATTTCTGCCTTCACAGGGTTTTGAAAATTTGGTCCTACATGCATAGAGTCCTTTCACAGGATCATAAACAGTGGATACGTTGCTCAAGCATTTTCTGTGTGTTGGACACTATCCATATCCTGGTCCTCAGGCTCAATTTACACTTGAGTTTTCTGTATGAATAAACAGAAAATTGTATACCCTGTTACTTTGCACTGCTTATATACCAACTGTCTTTGAGAAGCATGTTTTATTGTACAAGGGCTAATTCTCTCAGCTGCTAGATACAGTGCCCATTTTAATATGTGGAATAAACAGGAAATATGCCATTCCAGTCATGTAGCCAGCAAACCAGGAGCACTTATCTGACTCACAGCTGAAAACAAATCGGATGAATCATAAATCACATGGTGTGGTTGAAAAGACCACATAAATTAATTACGTTCCTAGTATGAGTTGAATTTGAATAACGAAATAGATGTTTCTTCTGAGAGTTCTGTTCTTTACAACCACTTTGCTAGTGTTTTTCTGATGTGATAGTTTCAGGAATAGATGGATTTTTGCTAGGCCTATGATGTGATTTACACCATATATACTGTAAGTGTGAATCCTTCTCATTTCATACTTTTCTCCATGATTCAAAACTATTAGTAAACTCTAGTAAAGCCCTTTGCCTAAATCCCACTGACAGAGTAGTTAGAATCAGGCTAAGGATCTGATCCTGTAGTCCTTATATAGGCAAAAGTCCAGTATTTCTTTTATAGCCTCCTTCTTTTGACTTCACTGGGAGTTTTGCAGGTGTAATCAAGTCAGTAATTAGCCTTTAAGGACCTACATGTTCCAGTGTACTTATTTTCACAGGTTTTGCTTTGGTGCAGCCATGCCTTTCAGTAGACTGAGCAGGGAGACTGAAGAGCCTGTGTCAAATTCACTGAGGTTCTATGCTGGCTTCCTCCAGCACAGAACCCGTGGGAGCGTTCCTGGTGGCAGGAAGTCTACGCAGGCGAGTTGCAAGGACACAAGGCCTCAGTCACTTTCCCTTTGTCGAGTGGCCTGCAGCTAAGCAGCACGTTATTAGCTGGGGAAGGAACGTGGTTAGGGCAGCCCCTAGGTATCCCCCACCAGCAAATTCCTGTTGACCTCCAGTCAAAATTAAAGCTGCTGGCAAAAACTCTGAGATACTGCTACCTGCCTTCTGCTGGATGAAGCTCTTCTGGGGTGCAGTGGGGCAGGCTGGCACAGGGAGGTATTGTTTGCACCTCCCTATACCATTGGGAATTAATTTGTTGCCTTATCATTTGAGGTGACAAAGCTTGAATTGGTCACAAGCTGGGAATCTAGCATATTTATTTCTCTGCTACAAAACCTTCAGAATGTCCTTGTCAACATTAGCATCTCTGCTTGATGCTAACTTTCACTCTTGATCTTATATATGTAGAAGTTTGTCTTGAAATCAGTGTATTAGAAAAAAAAAGTTCTATTAAACTTTGGGGGGAACTTGAAAATTATTTTTTTACATATAATAGCAAATTAAATTTTCTATGCTGAAACATACTATTAACTTAACTATAAGCAAGCTATTAATTTTTTTCCCACTTGGATGCTTAAAATCAGGATACTTAAAACAAAATATATGGAGTGTTGCAGTCTTCCTTTGTTAAGGGAAATATTTTCAGAAACAGCATCTCAAATACTGGTGCAATTTTGTTTTTGCACGTGCATTTTCACACCCAATTACTGTGCAAATTAAATTTTAGGCATGCAAAATTATGTCCACAACTTTAATAGCCTAAATAGCTACTGACATTCTTGTACCCTATTCATGCAGATAATTACCTTATTTCTGTGAGTTATTTATTTTATTATATCTCTGTATACATTTTGCAAAGCAATAGTTGCAAATTGCTATTTAGTGCCATTAATCCAATTCCCATTTATGATTCTACAATGTGCTGATAACCCTCAAATCCCAGTGCTTCACATTAATTAGGAGTTTTGCCATTGATTTAAGAGAGAGCTGAATCAGGCCCTAAGAGAGAAGATGACCCAAGGTGTGTATATATTAACAAACACATACTTTTGTTACATACTTTTAAACTGTAGTTTAAAGCTTAGTATACGTTGTATACAAATTACAATGTATGCACAGCACAATAACATATGCATACTAAAAACAATAGAATAACCATAAAAACATTGAGAAATTCTGTCTCACTGATTAAGTTCTTGCAGAAATCTGCTAAAGAAATGTATTCCCTTCTCTTTAAAAGTAACAAATGTTTACATGCCTAGACTTCGAACGTTGTCTATTTTTCCATAAATGTAATTTCTCCTTTTAAAAGACAGTTCTTTTTGAACCAAAACAGCATAATCATCAATCTAAAACTGAATCAAATAGGGTCCTAATCTCAGAAATGGCCCTTTAAGAACCTACATGCCCCCTCTGCTCTTATTATACTCAACGGCAGCTGATGATGTTCAGCACTTGATATGGTTGGACCCTTTGTTTGTTTTGCTGACATAAGTGCCTGAGGCCTGGTCTGTACTTAAAACTTAGGTTGACATAGCTACAGTGCTCAGGGGTGTGAAAAATCCACACCTTGAGCACTGTAGCTATGACAACTTAACCCCTGATGTAGATGGAGCTGTCATTGCATGAATGCTTCCGTCAACCTAGTTACCATCACTTGGGGAGGTGGAGTTCCTACAACAATGGGAAAAAAAACTTTCATTGCTATTAGCTGCATCTATACTATGAGGTTATAGCTATGCCACTATAGCCCCCATAGTGTAGACATAATCTTAGCCTGCTCTGAGTGAATTCAATGGAAGAGTGGCTATTGACTTCAACAGGGGCAGGCTTAGTCCCATAAATGTTTCTACAGTAAGCACATGAGAGCAAATCATATTTATAGGTCTTTCAGTAATGTGTTTGAGACAATGTTCTATATCAATAAAACTCTTGCAGTGGATTGTATTGCATATTTATGAATAGCAAAGGACATTCCCATCCATCATTCAAAGTATTGTGCAGCATAGCTAATATAAAACAAAATTTCTGCCTGTCTCTCACTCTCTCTCTCATGTCACTGTTTTTTCCACTTCAGATAAAATGTTTTATCTATGTTAGAAAATACATGAAGGGTTGATCTTGCCTTCCATGGGCACACTGAAATCAATGGGACTTTTGGATGCCTAAGGAAGGCAGACATAGTCTCTTATATGGATACCTTGATATTGATTGATTTATCGTAGAGTAGATTTTTGTTTATGAGAGATGTTAGAGAAAAGATGTTGCCTGGTTTTAAAAATATGGTTTTAGCTAAAATGAGAAATGGGATTATAGGATGCTTTTCAGAAAATGATGTTGGATTAAGAAAGGAGGAGTGCATTTATACATGAGCCTGCAGAGTTGATATGTTCAAAGAAAGTTTTATGGAGGAACTGAATTTAGATATAAATTAATTCTAAATAGCATTTTAACACTGATTAGTAGGGCCCTACCAAAATCACAGCTGTGAAAAATGCATCACAGACCTTGAAATCTGGTCTTTTGTATACTTTTATCCTATACTATACAGATTTCACAGGGGAGACTAGCATTTCTCAAACTGGGTGTCCTGAGCCAAAAGGAGGTTTTGGGGGGGGTCACAAGGTTTTTGTAGGGGGTCACAGTATTCCCACCTTTAGTTCTGTGCTGCCTTCAGGGTGGGGTGGCCAGAGAGCAGCAACTGCTGGCCAAATGCCCAGCTTTGAAGGCAGCACCCCACCAGCAGCAGCACAGAAGTAAGGGTGGCAATACCGTACCATGCCACCCTTAGTTCTGCACTGCTGCCTTCAGAGCTGGGCAGCCGGAGTGTGGCGGCTGATGGCCGAGGGCTCTGCTCTGAAGGCAGAAGCACAGAAGTAAGGGTGACAATACTGAGACCCCCCTACAATAACCTTGCAACCCTCTCACAGGCCCTTTTTGGGTCAGGAGCCCTACCGTTACCACACCGTGAAATTTCAGATTTAAATATCTGAAATCATTAAATTTATGATTTTTAAAATCCTATGACCATGAAATTGACTAAAATGGAGCGTGAATTTGGTAGGGTCCTACTGATTAGAAGTAAAACAATCCATACTGTTTCACTGAAAGGAGAGGGGAAAACAGGTAAAGTTACCCTTGTGAATCGTTGTAACTCCCAGTGTCAGTTGCAATAAAAAATGCAGCATGTGCAGCAGTATGTGCAAGGAAATTGCTTTCACTGCATGCCAAAAGGATAACAAATGGTGTTCATTGCTGTTAAATGCTTTAGCACAGGGGTAAGCAACCTATGGCACACGTGCCGAAGGCGGCACGCGAGCTGATTTTCAGTGGCACTCACGCTGCCCGGGTCCTGGCCATCGGTCCGGGGGGCTCTGCATTTTAATTTAATTTTAAATGAAGCTTCTTAAACATTTTAAAAACCTTGTTTACTTTACTTACAACAATAGTGTAGTTATATATTATAAACTTATAGAAAGAGACCTTCTAAAAACGTTAAAATGTATTACCGGCACGCGAAACCTTAAATTAGAGTGAATAAATGAAGACACGGCACACCACTTCTGAAAGGTTGCCGACCCCTGCTTTAGCATGTTAGGTGCTTGATCATGCAAAGTTCTGAGCACTCTGGGCCAATCCAGCAGCACGTGTTTAACGTCAAGCACTTGAGTAGTCCGTTGATTTCAACGGACAACTCAAGTGCTTGACATTAAACACATGCTTTGCTGGAGTGCCACAGAGTGCTCAGCACTTTGCAGGATTGAGCCTTATCCCAGATCCTCTGCACAGTGCCCAGCCTAGGTATCACAGCACGGCATGGAGCAAGAGGAAGGGGAGGAGGAATCCCCCACATGCCAAAACAGCAGGAATGGAGCCTCCATAGTTGGTATGTCAGTGTAAGAACTAGAGTTCACTCTGTGAACCTAGTTGCCACCCTTTTGGCGAGAGAGGAGGATGAGGGGCTGTGTAGTGGTTCTGGGGCCGTGTCCAGAAGGGTGGGCAGAAACTGAGACAAAGGGCCTAATTTTGGTCCCTGCACTAAGTATGAATAAATTGGCTTGGCACAGGTGGACGGGGCATGTTCAGTGGTGTCAGGGAATGGACACCTCCTCCTAAGCTGCAGAGCAGCCTCTCAGTAGTGCTCACTGCATCTGCATAGTCACAGATCTC